GACCCATAAGGTGTTGATATGCCGTTAAACAAACAAATCAAATAAGAAATCCCAAGAAAAGTTAGGTGAGACATAGATATCCAAACTCTTCCCAATCTCTTCCTTCGAAATCTTCGGTTTATCCTTCACGATGTTAAGCAGAGCGTCTTTGTCGATGACGGAATGTCGCCCGGAACGTCGTTGATCATTTAGGTTAAAATCGCCCGGACGAAATCTGCCAAACAACTTTTATAATATTCCGAAGAGCTAGAGCAAGAACGAAATAAACCTTCTGAATGTTTTGGGGGTTTTGATGGGGGAGGTTGTTCTTTCTTTTGTTATATTTTGTTTTTTTGACGAAGTTCTGTCGCTTATCCCGAAATTTAGAGACCATAATATGGCGAAAGTCTAACTTTTCATCTTCCATTTTTAAGACATTCATTTGTAGACAAAACGTCAACATTCAACAAAATTTGACTGGCAAGTAAACGAGGAATTGTTTCAATCTCGGACACACCAGAAATCGATACCAAGCAAACGTCAGTGTCAAGTTGCGGTTATTTTGTTTTTATTTACATTGAAAATCGTGCACAAACTTTAGCAGTTATCTGATATAAACTACACACTCTCAGATAGAAGGGATGATAAAGTAATTCTAGACACTGTGCTTTTTTTTTTACTTTACCTTCTCTGATTCCATAATTCATAGCGATGAAATACACAATTTCATCAGTCTCTTTCTGATTGCTAGTAGCATTTTTTTTTACTCACGATTCTTCTTAAATATCACAATTTTTTTCCCTAGATTTTACCCCTTGTATCTCAACAGTCGTCGATACAACGACATTGTCACTTCAAATTTCATCTGTAAGGTGATTGTCAAGCATTCACTACCATAGAGATTATTATAGATTGAATCACAGTTCAGTACTATTTCCTTGGTTTTTTTATTATTTTTCTCATACTTTGTCAGTTTTATTCTCAAATAATTATCGGGAGAATCATATCTCGCTTCCTGACATTTTGTTTTGCAATTATAGCGAAATCTTAAAACTGTCACGGACTGTAGACATGACATAGTAATCCAGCAACGTTGTTTCATATGTTATTTTCCGATTGCTTAATAGTTACTTAGTTTCTAAAAGACAACTTCTTCCCTTTCTTTGCGACTACATATTTCTGTGCTATGCTTACCGTCAACGATTATTAAACTACCATGGGGATTCACTTACATCATAGCAGCAGAAAGTAGGCTTGTGTTCACGGTGGTAAAAGCATATTTGACAGGAAATAAAACGTACACAAATAACATGAAAAGCATGTTAATTGTATGTTAATTTCATATAATTTATTTAAATTTTTTGTGTATTTTTTAGGTTAAAATTGTTTTATGGTACATGTAATAAAAGGGAGAATTTACTCCGTCTTATTATACGCTATATCACCGAGAGAAGTTGGGCACGTGTTGCCTGTACCAAGGTTTGTGGTGAAGAAATAGAATTTAATGTCTTTTGGCGGGATATCCGTATTTCTAGCAGTAACAGTTTTTGCTGCATGCTGGGAGGATTTTTATTATTTTTAATTAATTTATTTTATACAACGTTTTTATATTAGTCTTCTAGTTTATTTTATTTAAAATTTTAATTATTATTTTTATTTTATATTCTATTTTTATTTATTTATAATAATAATGTCCTTACACTACCTAGCCAGGAAAAAGAAATGCGTTCGTCTGCTTCATTTGAATGTCCTCAACATGTAAGCCTCATTTCACGTTTTCTGTTTTACTGGAAATCATACAGTCTCTTTTCCTCCAGTTGTGGATTAGTCCTTTCTTCACGCTTTCTTTGATTATTTTGTTTCACAGTTCTTTCAGTTTTCTTTCCCAATTTACATTCAACGAATTGAGATCTGCGTGGCTGATGTTATTAAGGTTACGCATGCTGGTATTAAATGTTGATTCGTCTAGTCGTCTTTGAATCAATTCTGTAAGGCTTAAGTAAATCCTGTGCGAAAAAATATCCATTTCTTACTCCGCATGCTATTTTTACGTATTCGTTTCTATTCTCATGCAAGCTGTTTTCAAGGGGTGTTTACGGATTATTTGAATGTCTTTTCAGTGCAAATCCATCTTATATTTCAAGGCGCCTTTAGTTGCAGTACTTTATTAAATGCTTTCTTTCTGAATTTTTATTATTCCATTTGATAGAATTCTGTCCCTGAAAATTTAATTCCTTGTTCTAGTGACTTGGAGAAAACCACAGTGATTTTAGAATATTTTTGCTATAATTCTATTACGAACTATAGTCAGTAGCATTGGGGATAACGAAATCAAACAAGTACAACAATTAAAAGATGCCTTCCAAAAGCTAAGCAAAGTATTAAGTAACAGAAAAATATCGTTAGAAACAAGGAAAAGTATTCTGAACAGATATGTAATATCATCCGTTATATGGCAGAGAACACTGTACAATATTTTCACAAATCAAGAAGAGACTTGAAGCATCAGAAATGTATTTTTACAGAAAGATTGTGAGAATACCATAGACAGAATATGTGAGCAATAAGGAAGTTTTAAAGGCAATGGAAACAAAAAGTACACTTATACTCTAACACCAGAAAAAGAGGGCTGAAATTTCTGGGGCACATAATGAGGAAAGAAGGCTTGTAAAATTTGATACTCACGGAACAGATTGAAGACAATAAAGACAGAGGAAACCAATGCATGACCTACCCGGCGATGTAAATCTCCCAATTGTCTCCCAAGGTCTGAACTAGTGGATCTTGTCTGAACCTTTGCCATGGATATAACGGTAGTGTAGCGAGAGGCGTGTGGCATTTTTGTGTAAAACGGAAATTAATTTACCGCCTACAATGCCGTATAAATACTTTTGAACTCTGTTAATGCTGGAAAGAGAGGATTGGACAGCGTAGAATATGGCAGCAATACTCTATTTTGGGTTTGATCTGTGTCTTGTTAAGACAGAGCAGGCCAGATGCTTTTTGGAGCCGTATAAAGAGTTGGCCATTTTTTAGGCGATGGATCGGATATATATGAGTTCCACTCAGTTACGTTATCAAACTCCAAATCGTCTAAGCTTATCAGCATCTCTCTTACAAACTTATCTCGTCCTACTGCTTTGTTTCTCCGTATCTTAAGGAATTTTAGCATTAACGATCACGATCGCTGATCCCCTGACACATCAGGGTCGTAGGGTCACTATATGTACTGCGCAGTAGAAGTTGTGTTTCTTGGACAAGAGAGCATGATGAGCCCAACACTTTCCATGCCGGTTTTGAATTCAGTTCTCTTTTCCTAGACCGGTTATTACCCAAGGCTATAGAACACAGTCTCTTCTGCTATTTACCCATAGCTTGGGGGAGAAGAGGATGCATACCTTTCCTAAGCGTATTAGGACGTAAGTGAATATAATTGATCCGACTGGAATTCGAACTCGGCTCTCCGATTCCTCAATCGCTATCCATTACTCCAACGGGCCTCATCATTACAGGTCTTTAAATGCTTTTATATCTTATTGCCTTTTCTCTTTAGTTACTACTGAAGAGCTCTCTGATATATCGATGATATATTTGTAGCATATATACTTTTATCATTATCATTGTTACACCATCCGATTTCATATATCCTGCTGTTTTTTGTCAGTTTTATTTTTTGTGCACGCTTGCTACGTCAGTATTTTGCAGTATTCTGCCCTCAGTACATTTTTTAATGAGTCATGCGTATTTTGCTTACTTGCATCTCTTTCTGATGTTTTTGTTTCATCCTATATATTTCATGATACATCTTCGAGCTATCTGCTGCCTTTCTTTTATTAAGTTGAGAACTCCATCTGTTAACCACTTAGCTAAACATTTTTTTTATCTCTCTCTTGCCTTGAATTGACATCTTTTGTCACTTGATTTTTCACTTTGAGTTCTTGGCTTGGTCGAAAGTTTCATATTGACTGCAAATATTCGTTTTTAAATGGAATCCTATTGCAGTTTAAGGATTGATTTAGGCTTCTTTAATTTTAGTAATATTTCCGTTAGTGTGAATCTGACTTAGGGCGGTTGGTCCCCAGTCAGTGTTTGATGCGTTTTAGAAACTATTTTATGCTTATGTAGCCTATCTGGTTTTATTCAAAGACAAAACCAGGATTCCGAATATTTATATTCGAAACACTTAAATCACAACCTCTTGAAAGATTGGCGCAACATATTCTTTCAACTCCCAATTTGTCCATCTAGAGCAGCGCTTCTTAAATCTTTTATATTCATTGTTGCAGTTTTTTTGTGTATGTTATGTACTAGTGAGTTAGCTCAAATGACTTGACTCACTTTATAGTCCACCAATAGAAGATTAACCAATCAGAAGACGTAGAACATTCAATCCGTCGTGTATAAAGGCGGCTTTTTTTGTCTACTCTACCCAAATGTCCAGTCCAGCTTATCAGGCGAAGAGAAACAGAAGGAATAACTAGGCTCTGCTACTTTTTACCGAAATATCCACTGCTAACCTGAACAACGCTTTCCTACTGTCTCCGAAATATTTACTGCTAACTTCTGGATTCTATACTCGAAGACGACCGTCATCATGAACAACATTCATGACCCTATTTTTCATAACGAGATTTTTGGTGGCTCCAGGTATTACTCAACTACCCTGAAAATACATCAGTTGTCACTGCGCTTGTCGCTTCACGCGCGTTTTATTACCACAGCGCATGCGTGGTGCACCACACTAAATATTGTGCGTTTGTGAAATAACATAGAAACAGAAATTCAAATGTTTGAATTTAATTTTCGCGACCCCAGCATTTAGCTTCGTGACCCCAAATGGGGTCGCGATCCAAAGTTTAAGAAGTGCTGATCTAGAGTATTAAATATGGAATAAAAAACGAACCCGTTGAACTGTTATGTTATATCTTATCTATATGGCAACAAATGCTAGACAATCTCCTCTCAGATGAAGATTCTGGTGTGGTTCGACTAACGACTGATAAGGATGCTATGAGTTGAAGTCAAGAAACAAATAAACAAAGAATCAATAAAGAAAGAAAATGGAGAAAAGAAAAATGAAAAATGAAAGAAAAATGGAAAGAAAGAAAAAAGAAAGAAAAGGATAAAACAAGAAAGAATGGGAAAAAGAAGAGAAAGAAAGGGGGAAACAAAAGAACGAATGAAAAGTAATCCAACAGAAAAAGAAAAAATAGATAGTAAAAAAGAAAATTAAGGAAATCAAAAGAAAATGGGAACACAAAGGAATGAAGGAAGGAAGGAAGGAAGGAAAAAAAGAAGGAGGAAAAGCAGAAAGGGAGGAAGGAAGGAAGGCAGAAAGGAAGGAAGGAAGAAAAAAAGGAAGGAAGGAAGGCAGAAAGGAAGGAAAAAAGGAAGGCAGAAAGGCAAAAAGGAAGGTAGGCAGAAAGGAAGGAAAGAAGGGTGGAAGGAAGAAAGGAAGGAAGGAAGGAAAAAAGGAAGGAATGAAGGCTGAAAGCCAGAAAGAAACGTAGGAAGGCAGGAAGGAAGAAATGTAGGAAGGAAGGAAGGAAGGAAGGAAAGAAGTAAGGCAGCAAGGCAGAAAGGAAGGTTGGAAGGTAGGAAGGGAGAAATGAAGGAAGGAAGGAAGACAGAAAGGCAGACAGGAAGGTAGAAAGGCAGGGAGGAAGAAATAAATGAAGGAAGGAAGGCAGAAAGGAAGGTAGGAAAGCAGGAAGGAAGGCAGAAAGGAAGGAAGGAAGGTAGGAAGGCAGGAAGGAAGAAATGAAGGAAGGAAGGCAGAAAGGAAGGAAGGAAGGTAGGAAGGCAGGAAGGAAGAAATGAAGGAAGGAAGGCAGAATGGAAGGCAGGAAGGCAGAATGGAAGGCAGGAAGGAAGAAATGAAGGAAGGAAGGAAGGCAGAAAGGAAGGAAGGAAGGTAGGAAGGCAAGAAGGAAGAAATGAAGGAAGGAAGGCAGAAAGGAAGGAAGGAAGGCAGAAAGGAAGGAAGGAAGGTAGGAAGGCAGGAAGGAAGAAATGAAGGAAGGAAGGCAGAAAGGAAGGCAGGAAGGAAGAAATGAAGGAAGGAAGGCAGAAAGGAAGGCGGGAAGGAAGAAAGGAAGGAAGGGAGGCAGAAAGGAAGGAAAAAGGAAGGAAGGAAGGCACAAAGGAAGGAAGGACGGTAGGAAGGCAGGAAGGAAGAAATGAAGGAAGGAAGGCAGAAAGGAAGGCAGGAAGGAAGAAAGGAAGGAAGGAAGGCAGAAAGGAAGGAAAAGGGAAGGAAGGAAGGCAGAAAGGCAGAAAGGAAGGAAAAAAGCAAGGCAGAAAGGCAGAAAGGAAGGAAGAAAGGAAAGAAGGAATGCAGAAATGAAGGAAAAAGGAAGGCAGAAAGGAAGGAAAAAGGAAGGAAGGAAGGCAGAAAGGAAGGAAGGAAAGCAGAAAGGAAGGAAAAAAGGAAGTAAGGAAGGCAGAAAGGAAGGAAGGAAGGAAGGAAGGAAGGAACGACAAAACTGACAGAGAAAATAAAGCGACAAGTTGAATGAAAGAAAGAGTAAAACAAGGCAACAAAGAAAAACAATTGAACAAGAGAGTGATAAAACGTATGAAAGAGAAAAAGTGAGAAGTAAAATTCGAAAAGAAATGTGAGAAAAGAATGGGAAAAGAAACAAATATTGAAAAAAGAAACAAAAGAAGGATGTGTAAAAGTCTAGGAAGCATTTAAAAAAGAAAAAAAAAAGTGGAAAAATGTCTTTTTATTCTTCTTTCCCCTGATTACCGTGTCTCGGAATGATTTTATTTTCATTTCTGAGCGACGTACCTAATTTGAACGATAACGGTTAGTTTCTATTAAGTACAGAAATGAAAATGGAAACACTCTGAGATAAGGTAGTAATGGAAAGAAAGAAGAAAGGACTATTACCTATATGAAGATATAATGAATAGTCATCAACACAAGAAAAATTACAAGTTCCTAATTTATTTAAGAATTCAGAATGAGGGATATAAAATTAATTTTCAGTGTCGTATGGTAACAGATGATAGAAAGAGAGGCACATAAAATCTAAGGCACAACTGGCGAGCGAAAAATGACTTCCATAAACTAAGCAAAGTATAAAGCCGTAGGAAAAAATAGTTAGAAAAAAATGTGCTGAATGTGCATTTAATAACACATTTCCTACATTGAAGTAACAGCGGAACAATCTGATGATGAAAAAAAAACAGACTTGAAACAATAAAGATGTAGTTTTAATAACGATATTTTCTTTTTTGTTATCGTTTTTTCTTTCTTCCTGCTTTGGGGTAGTTCGTTCTTTCTATTGATTACTGCATTTTTTCCCTCTTGATTGTATTTTTTATTCTTTTTCTTTTTTTCCTTTCTTTCTAAATCTTTTCTTCGTTCTTTCTTTCTTTATTCATTTTCAATTTTTTTTTCTTTCTTTCTTTTTTTTTCTTTATTTCTTTATCCTTTGGGGCAGTTTCCGTTCTTTTTATTGATTTCTTTCTTTAACTAGTTTACACTTTGTTCTCTTTTTGTTTTTCTTCTTTTCTTTCATTCATTCCCCTTTAGGATAGTTGTCGTTCTATCTCTTCATTTCTGATTTTCTTTCTCTTGTCTGTAATTTTCTTTCTTTTTTTTTTTCTTTCTTTCTTTCTTTCTTTCTTTCTTTCTTTCTTTCTTTCGTTCGTTCGTTCGTTCTTTGTTTCTCCTCCGGGGTAGTTTCCATTTTTCTGTGATTTCTGCGTTTCTTTCTATTAATTGCAATTTTATTCTTTTTGGTTTTATTATTTCTCCCTTTGTTCTTTTTCGTTCTTTCTTCTTTCTTTCTTTCTTTCTTTCTTTTTTCTTTCTTTCTCCCTTCGGGGTAGCTGCCTTTCTATTGATTTCTGCCTTTCTTTCTATTGTTTGTGCGTTTATTTCTTTTCTTTTTCTTTTCTTTTTTCTATGTTACTTTCTTACCTTTTTTAAATGTTTTCTGACTTTCTTTTGTCTGTAATTTTTTTTTTTTTGCTGTCTTTCTCCTTTCTTTATTTCGTTATTCCTTTGGGGTAGTTTCCGTTTTTCTGTGATTTCTGCCTTTCTTTCTATTGATTGTAATTTTATTCTTTTTGTAGTTTTCTTTCTTTTTCTTTCTTTCTTTCTTTCTTTCTTTCTTTCTTTTTCTTTCTTTCTTTCTTTCTTTCGTTTATATCCCGTTATTTTTATGCATTTCTTCCTTTCTCTTGTTTGTACTTTTATTTCTTTTCGTTTTTCTTTCTTTCTTTGTTTCTTTGTTTCATTCTTTGTTTCTTTTTTCTTTCTTTCTTTCTTTATTTCTTTCTGTCTTTCTTTCTCCTTTGGTTTAGCTTTCCTTCTTTCTATTGACTTCTGCCTTTCTTTCTTTCTTTTTTTTTACTTTTCTTTCTTTTTATTTTTCTTCATTTCTTTTCTTTTTCTTCTCCTTTCTGGTATTTCCATTCCTTCTATTGATTTCCGCCTTTTTTTTTCTTGTTTTTGTTTTTATTTTTCTTCTTTTCTTTAATTCCGTCTGCTTTGGGTTTCTTTCCGATCTTTCTATTTATTTCCTTCTCTTGTTTTTTACTTTTCTTTCTTTTTCTTTTTCTTCTTTACTTTCATTCTTTCACTTTCGGGGTAGTTGCAGTTCTTTCTGTTGATTTCTGCCTTTCTTTATCTTGATTGTTCTTTTCTTTCTTTTAGTTTTTCTTCCTTTTTTTCTTACTTTTTTCTTTCTTCGGGGTATTTTACGTTCTTTCTATGGATTTCTTTCTCTTTTTTTACTTTTCTTTGTTTCTTTTTCTTTCTTTCTTTTTTTCTTTCTCTCTCTCTCTCTCTCTCTCTCTCTCCTTCGGGGTAGTTTCCATTTTTCTGTTATTTCCTTCTTTCTATTGATTTCTGCCATTTCTTTTTCTTTTTTGTACTTTTCTTTCTTTTTGTTTTTCTACATTTCTTTCTCTCATTAAATATTACTTTCAATTTTTTTTCTTGCTATGAATACCTTGGACAAAACATGCGTGTAACAGCCAGTCAAGTAGTTGAAAAAATGAGAGAAAAAAGGGAAGTAGTCTTGGAGAATTTAAATCATACTTGATATATTAAAACAAGACTAGCTGGATGAAACAACGAGTAACCTACTTAATTATTTTGCATGAATGGTTAACAGAAGTAGGGTACAGATGGCCCGGAAAGGATCAATCGTTATTTTGAGAAAGAAAAAGCAGAGGAAAGTGTGGCGGGCGATGATCACCTTCTTAGTTAACTTATGTGAAGTGATAGCAGAACATGGACAAAGTTGGGTGGGAAAGGGTCAACATTTGACTGGCAGTTGTAGAGAGTCATGATCATCTACTTAATAAGTTTGTATTAAGGGATAACAGAATAAGGACAAAGAGGGATAGTAAAAGGTCAAAGGTTAAATAGAGCAAAGAGACTTAGAGAAAGGACTTGATATATGACTGAACATAGAAGCGCTAATCCACTGAAATCAGGTTCGAGAAAGTGATGTTTTCAATATTTTTCTTATAAACTTAGTCATGTTAAATAATTAAAGTCTAGCTTCATAGAGAGTCTCTGAAATGACTGTATAGCGCAAACTCTGTTTAATGTGACATGTGTACGCGAGTGCACGCGCACACACACAGAACATGTATATATATATATATATATATATATATATATATATATATATGTGTGTGTGTGTGTGTGTGTGTGAAAAATATATAGAAAATAGGAAAGAACTTGTTAGGTAAATACTCCAAAGTTCTTTAGTATTTTTGTTATTATTTTAAAAAAAATAGTGCTCGATACAAGAGTAGAGCATAAATATAATTATTTATTTAAAAGTGTTGGAATCATATTTTTAAATAAATAATTATATATATATATATATATATATATATATATATATATATATATATATATATATTGAAGTGGTTGAAGTCAAAACTCTGAGGCGACAGGCTGTTTCATGCTGGACGCAATCGATTGCATCCAGCATAAAACAGTCTGTCGTCTCTGAGTGTTGACTTCAATGTTCACTTTTATATACGCTCTATCTCCGATATTGAACACTTTATCCCATAAATATAGCACACCTAAAACTATATTATATTTATATATATATATATATATATATATATATATATATATATATATATATGAAGAAAAATATACAGAAAAAAAACAAACAAAAAATCTTTTTGCAAATTAGACCAAAACGTCCGACGTTGACATTATTAAACATTAAAACAGCATAATAGCATATAAGGATTTTTTTTCGTATATTATTCTTTTTTCCGTCGGATCTATATCCATATATTTGTCGGATCTATATATATATATATATATATATATATATATATATATATATATATATATATAGTGCGATGATTAAATTGTTGTCAATTTATATTATGCAAGTGTTTTTTTATTATTTTGTAAACTGAACAGAAGGGTTAGTTGGGCAGCGTCTGTGAGAAAAAGAGCACCATGATGAAATTCACTCTGCCAGAAATTTGGAAGCAGCATGCTGTACTGCTTGGCATTTGCACCCGAAGCTCCAATGCAAACATTTCAGGGTGATTGGGTGTCAATCTGAGGACAGTGCAGAGGATTCAGAAAGAGTTGGATGAGTCTAATGCTGATTATGAAGGTGTTTGAAATGATCACTAGTGATGGCCACATAATACCTCCATTCATCTTACCACGGGGCCTCACTCAATATTATGACCTGCATCAAGTGCCTTCAAGCGGTAGTGCTTCTCTGGGTCAAGTGAGGGGCTGCTGGAAGAGCCTATGTTTGGCAACAGGATTCTGCACCATGCCACACAGGCAGGAGTACCCATTCTTGGCTGTCAAACAATTTCTACTACCACATCACATCTGACCACCTAACTTTCCATGCAGCAACCCCCTTGATTAGTATGTGTGGGGCACAGTTAAGCGAGAGATCAACAAAACATCTTGTAACACCAAAGGTGAATCGAAGTCAAGCGTTATGGCAGCATTTACAAACTTAAACAAGGAGACCGTACAGAAGAGTTTCAGAGGATCCCGATGTCGTCTGGGGGGCTGTGGTTAAAGCCAATGGCTATTTCATTGAGTAAATTTACTCTAACATTACAAGATATTTTTGTGCAATTTTTGTTAATATATCTGTTCAAACGAGACATCAGTGCTATTTTCATTTTTGTGTAATTCAAACGACAATTTATCCATCTTACCCTGGATAGATAGATAGATAGATATGAAAGGATCAAAATATAGAAAAAAATAATGAAGAAACTTAGAAAGAAAGAAAAGAAGAAAGAAAAAAGAACAAATTTAGATAGATAACTAGACAGACAGACATTCAGATAGAGAAATAGATAGATAGATAGATAGATCATGAACAAACAGATAGATAGATAATGAACAGACTTAGATAGATAGATAGATAGATAGATAGATAGATAGATAGATAGATAGATAGATAGGAACAGAGTGAGATAGATAGATAGATAGATAGATAGATAGATAGGAGAGACTGTGAAAGATAGATAAATAGATAGATAGATAGATAGATAGATAGGAAGAGACTGAGATAGATAGATAGATAGATAGATAGATAGATAGATAGATAGATAGATAGATAGACTGATTTCAAGTGAACAAAGAAGTTTACACGCAAACATCAGGTAGTGTGCAAATGTTTTTCGTATAAGAAAAATATAGTAAAATTTTAGCATACTTTTGTACCTGTTAGATGCAGAAATAAAGTCTATACCAAAATTAAAATTTAACGTTAACTAGCAGTAGATCCCGGCGTTGCCAGGGGATGTAACAGTAAGAGATAGATCAAGTATCGACCATCATAAAGACTGAAAAATAAAATTGACAAAGATTATTGTTTAAGGTTGACGGACACGCATGTCTTAATTAGTTTTTTTTTGTTTTTGTTTTTTTTTTTACAAATTGGTCAAACCTAAACTCAAACAAAAACATTGTTTGCAATCGTTATGAGTCTATCGATTGAATAGAATTTTATTATTGTCTTGTAAATTGAATTTTAAAAACATTCTGAATGTAAAAGTAAAGAAAAAAGTGCAAGACAATAAAAAACACTACCTAAAAAAAAAAGTGAAGTTTTGTTGAAATCGGTTGAAAAATGTAGGAAACCGATCCCATATACGAACACGATCCACACACACACACACACACACACACACACACACACACACACACACACACACAATCTGGGTTTTATAATAAGTATAACTCGATATGAGTTGTCCCCCTTTCATTCTGGCTACAGAAATCGTGTTTTCAAATTGATTTCGTGCAAAACAATTGTGTTTTTCCAATTTTGGCGCTGTCAGAACCACTGCAAGGTAATTTTACGTAGTCTTGTGAAGTTTTGTTGAAATCGGTTTGAAAAATGTAGGAAATCCGATCCAATATATAAACACACACACACACACACACACTGCGTTTTATAATAAGTAAGATGTATTTGCTTTTATGAATAAAAGAATCCATAGCGACGAATATTAAATTAACTTTAAGTGAAAAATTTTAAATCGTGTTTAATTGTAAAATGGTAAACAAACTTCCAAGTACCACTTGATTTTTTGTAGTGAATTTTGCACGAAAAAGGTTCATTTGCAATAAACGCAAAATAATACAGAAAAGAAATAAAATTAATAAATCTTATTATTACTTCACTTAAACGACTAAAAGTGTAAAAGGAAAGCCAACTACAGCAACGAACAACCACTAACCCAAATCGAAACTAAAATGCTTCGCTTCTATTCAGACAAAAATATATTGGGATTTTTTCTGTTAATTGACGTCAAAATAAAAATAATTTATATTTACCGAAATCCGCCCCAAATTCTTCTAGAGTGAGGCCCTTCCATTGCACTCCGTTTGGGTTGAGCTTTGCGATCTTCCCAAATGTGGGTGACTCGGGTGCGCTATTTCAAAATGTGGGGTCTGCATTCGCGCTCGCCCCGATAAACAAGACAAAAACAGATCTTTTAAAAATTTATTTTTAAAATTGCAAAAAATTCCTTGTAAGTAGCTTGAACATTATTCGAACTAACGAAATGTGAATAACTCCTTGATTTACATTATTCGGACTATTGTCCTCATCTTTGTCGCCATATTTGGTTGGATGTCGAACTGAACCCTTTATTTCGCTCACTGGGGTAGACTGTTCAAGTTCTACATGCCATGTTTAATGGATGTCAGTTATAAGTTTTCTCCTGTTAATTTCCCTCTGAAACTTCTCCACTAACTTAACCGGGTATTGAACTCACACTCTTTGGGTCCTGTCACTGGATCTAACCAATGTGAATTATCGTAAAAAATCCATGTATTGGAAGCATGAAGTTTAAAATTTAAAAAAAAACAAACTAATGTGACTACAAACCTAAAAACGGGAGTTGAATATAATAAATACTTGGGGTATTATATGAGGATCAGCTGGAAAATTGATAGGCTGACCAACATGGAAATGTAAGTAGATACACCAGTTGTTAGATGAACTTTACAGCCTACCCTCGGATATCTAAGTCCTACGTTTTGGAATTTCTAATTGCATCATTGCTTACTTCTGTCCTGGTTCCTTACAGGTCACTCTGAATGTCTAGTAAAAGGGCATCTAATTACTTTCTGATTGATGAATGCAGCTGAGCATTTACTTAATTGTAATTTACTTTTATTGGTCAAGGAAGAGTTGTTGTCAGGCCATATTTCTCCTATTCTCAAGTGATCGCTCTAATTGTAGTGTTGAGTATATTAAGGTCGACATCCACGATTATGATGGTCAGTTGTCATTCTCCGAATATTCGATTGGCCAAGTTATGGAAGAAGTTTAAGATCAGAGCTCATCAAAGCAATGACTTTAACTTTAGCAATCTTAGGGTGAATTTTTAAGTAACAATAATATTCAAGTATAATAATTTGACCTAATTTCTACCAGAAACTTCGTTCAAATTATTCTTAACGACTGATCGCCATCGTAGTGTATTAAATGTTGAATGCAGTTCATTGATACATACATACATATATATATATATATATATATATATATATATATATATATATATATATATTAAGACATTTTATGTTTATACATTCTTTTTATAGATACAAATATTTAAGTAAATGCTCTGTTTTTATTTGGATACGCTTTGAGCAGATATGAATGTACGTGAGAGATACATGGACGATTGTAGTTTTAAAACAGTAAAATCGACCTTGCTAACCGAACGATCCTCTGTGGCTCCATCGGTCATGGCACATCAGGCTATATGACGGTTCCGTATAGGAAACAGGTTCGATTTCTGTCGGAGGACGAATATTCTCTATGAAAATTTCTCGGACATTCAGGCCGGTAAATGTTATTAATACTGTTTATTATAAAAAGAGCATTTACTTAAATATTAGTATCTATAAAAAATGTATAAAAATGTCTTAAAATAATTGTCGGACTTTGTCCATTCCATTACATATATGTCCAATAGTTTTGCGTTGTGTCTTTTCGGTACATTTCCTCATAAATTAGTGTAGAGAAAAAATAAATTCCTTATTTCTGCTTAGATATTTAATACCATGAATATATGTATGGTACAGCGCACATTTTTAACCATATTAAAAATTGTGCTTTTTTGTTGTTTTGTTTTAAAAAAAAATGCGTATAAAACTAGCATTAAATTACCGATTTTGGTGAAAAATTCAGAATGTACTAATGAACAATTGTACGTAATGAAAAATCGGAGAGCCGAGTTCGAATTCCAATCGGGTTCATTTCAATCACTTACGCGTAAATACCCTTAGGAAAGGGGTCCCTTCTTCCTCCAGCAATGGGTTGAATCATAGGACACACTGGATCCTACAGCCTTGGTTGATAACCTCTGTACAGCAGGAAGAAACGGCAACCTACTTCGAGAAAATCTTCTGCCTCGTCAGTCAGGAATCAAAAGAGACATGATTGGCCAAGCGTGTATCACGTATGGCACTTAACTGACTTATGATAGGTATATGTACATTATGGATTATATTTTTGATATATATATATATATATATATATATATATATATATATATATATATATATATATATATATATATATATATAGGCACTGTGGAGTAATGGATAACGGCTTGGATTTAGGAATTCCAGTCGAATCCATTACATTTCACTTACGTGCTAATACCCTTGGGAAAGGTATGAATCCTCTTCTTTTCCCTCCAGCTATGGGTAAAATAAAAGGGCAGACTGGGTTCTATAGCCTTGGATGGCAACTGGTCTAGGAGAAGGACAACTCAGAATTCAAAACCTGCGGAGTGTCGTTTGGGAACCTCGTGGCACTTAGTTCACCTTCGTCCCTTCAAATGTGTGGATGTTCCTGCACGAAGCCTTCACCACTATAATCAAATCTCATGTGCCGGTGTCGGGCTGTCGGTTTCTTGGAAACTGATCTGCATGACCCTCATACGTCGAATTTGACGGGAGAGTCGACTATATATATATGTATGTATAAATATTTGTTTTTATATATATATATATATATATATATATATATATATATATATATATATATATATATTTAATAGTGTATATAGTTTTCAACGATGAAGTACACTACAAGGTATGTGGAGCTGAAGAGGGGAATTGTCATGTGATGTGCCATCTCTCCAGTACTGTTTGTGATGGAGGTTATCCTGAGAGGTCTAACACCAGAGGACCTCTTCCTGCAGAATGTGGTCAAAATCCGGGCATTTATGAATGATTTGACGATAATTCAAGATGAAAGGAAACTAGCACAGTTGGTTTTGCAGTGTTGCAGTGTTGGTAAAATGGAGTCAGATGGCCTTCAAACCAAAGAAGAGCAAGTCGCTGTCAATGAAGAGAGGTTCTCTCATACATGAAGTGTTTTCTATCGCAGGTGAAAAGATACCAACGGTGCGGGAGCAAGGTGTGAAGAGTCATGGGAGGTGATATAATATCCCTCTGTCACCGTGGGATTGAAATCCAGCGACAAGCGGAGGTGGGTCTGCGAAGAATAAACCAATGTGGGCTTCCCGGGAAATTTAAAGTTTGGTGTATGCATTTTGGATTGATGCAGAGACTAATGTGACCGCTGTCTATATATGAGGTGGAACTGTCTCGAGTTGAGATAATTGAGAGGAAAGTCAGTAAATGCATACGGAAATGGCTTGGTGTTGCAATGATTCTGTCGCCGGTCGCTTTGTATAGCAGCTCGGGGTCCTTCAGTTATCTGTTACTTCTTTGGTCGAGGAGTACAAGGTGGGCAAAGGTGAGATTGCTGTCCATGCTGTATGAATGGATGCTGTACCCCGGGAAAATGTTCCGGGGGTGAAGACAGGAAGAAAGTGGAAAGTGTCAGACGTAATGCCAGCAGTGGAAGTGATGGTAAATTCAGGGTGTTTCAAGGAAGGGACGTGCTGGTCTAGTTGAGAGGTAGTGATTCTGGTCAGAGGCCAGTAGACAGGAGCAACGCAAGTTACAGAAACAGGGGGTTCAGAAGCTCAAGGAGGAGAGACGTTTGAGTGCGGACTGTCCAGCAGGCTCAGCAGGGTCGATGGCTCAATTGAGGGTGTTCAGATTAATTGGTCTGATTGGTGGCGTCTCAGCGCAGGATGTTTGAGGTTCCTCATACAGGCAGCATATGGTGTGGCAGCATCACCAGAAAATTGGAAGAGATGCTTGTGTGATGCTTATGGAAACCTGCGCCACATACTGTCATCCTGCTCGAAGGCGCTACAGAACGGCTGAGACACCTTCAGACATAACTTGGTTCTGGAGGTCGTGGCAGCAGCTGCACGAAGTGCTAGCATACCCTCGACGGACCTGCGAAGGATTGCCTTCCTAAAGCAAGGTGTGACTGACACAAGGGAGAAAACCAAGTTGAAGGACTCAAGGAAGTGGAGAGTGTTGGTTGATTGCTACACTGCCAGTGGATGTTGTTGTGTCTGGACTGAGGCCAGAGCTAGCGTTAATTGATAGCGAGAAGCAACATCTGTTGCTTGGCGAACTGACAGTTGCATGGGAAGAAGGGATTGAACTCATAAACTTTGGGTCCTGTCACTGGATCTAACTAACGCCTTTATCCTTTAGAATACATGGGACAGTGGTTCAATACCAGGTTACGGCAGTGGGGAACCTGGAGAGGGGAATTAACAGGAGATAACTGACCTCTATTAGACATGGTACGTGGAACTAGAACAGTCTACCCCAGTGAGCGAAATAAAGGATTCAGTTTGACATTCCAACCACCTAAAGAAGGCCGGAGCGTACAACAGCCGAAACGTTGTAATAAATATGGCGACAAAGATCAGGACAGTAGTCCGAATAATGTAAATAGTGTACATGATACCTCATCTCAGAAATATAGACAGATACTAAAAGGCCGAAACGTTGTAATAAATATGGCGACAAAGATGAGGACAATAGTCTGAATAATGTAAATAGTGTACATGATACCTCATCTCAGAAATATAGACAGATACTAAAAGGCCGAAACGTTGTAATAAATATGGCGACAAAGATGAGGACAATAGTCTGAATAATGTAAATAGTGTACATGATACCTCATCTCAGAAATATAGACAGATACTGAAAGGCCGAAACGTTGTAATAAATATGGCGACAAAGATGAGGACAATAGTCTGAATAATGTAAATAGTGTACATGATACCTCATCTCAGAAATATACACAGATACTGAAAGGCCGAAACGTTGTAATAAATATGGCGACAAAGATGAGGACAATAGTCTGAATAATGTAAATAGTGTACATGATACCTCATCTCAGAAATATAGACAGATACTGAAAGGCCGAAACGTTGTAATAAATATGGCGACAAAGATGAGGACAATAGTCTGAATAATGTAAAATAGTGTACATGATACCTCATCTCAGAAATATAGACAGATACTAAAAAGGCCGAAATGTTGTAATAAATATGGCGACAAAGATGAGGACAATAGTCTGAATAATGTAAATAGTGTACATGATACCTCATCTCAGAAATATAGACAGATACTGAAAGGCCGAAATGTTGTAATAAATATGGCGACAAAGATGAGGACAATAGTCTGAATAATGTAAATAGTGTACATGATACCTCATCTCAGAAATATAGACAGATACTAAAAGGCCGAAATGTTGTAATAAATATGGCGACAAAGATGAGGACAATAGTCTGAATAATGTAAATAGTGTACATGATACCTCATCTCAGAAATATAGACAGATACTAAAAGGCCGAAATGTTGTAATAAATATGGCGACAAAGATGAGGACAATAGTCTGAATAATGTAAATAGTGTACATGATACCTCATCTCAGAAATATAGACAGATACTAAAAGGCCGACAAAATGTTGTAATAAATATGGCGACAAAGATGAGGACAATAGTCTGAATAATGTAAATAGTGTACATGATACCTCATCTCAGAAATATAGACAGATACTAAAAAGGCCGAAACGTTGTAATAAATATGGCGACAAAGATGAGGACAATAGTCTGAATAATGTAAATAGTGTACATGATACCTCATCTCAGAAATATAGACAGATACTGAAAGGCCGAAACGTTGTAATAAATATGGCGACAAAGATGAGGACAATAGTCTGAATAATGTAAATAGTGTACATGATACCTCATCTCAGAAATATAGACAGATACTAAAAAGGCCGAAACGTTGTAATAAATATGGCGACAAAGATGAGGACAATAGTCTGAATAATGTAAATAGTGTACATGATACCTCATCTCAGAAATATAGACAGATACTAAAAGGCCGAAATGTTGTAATAAATATGGCGACAAAGATGAGGACAATAGTCTGAATAATGTAAATAGTGTACATGATACCTCATCTCAGAAATATAGACAGATACTGAAAGGCCGAAACGTTGTAATAAATATGGCGACAAAGATGAGGACAATAGTCTGAATAATGTAAATAGTGTACATGATACCTCATCTCAGAAATATAGACAGATACTGAAAGGCCGAAACGTTGTAATAAATATGGCGACAAAGATGAGGACAATAGTCTGAATAATGTAAATAGTGTACATGATACCTCATCTCAGAAATATAGACAGATACTAAAAGGCCGAAATGTTGTAATAAATATGGCGACAAAGATGAGGACAATAGTCTGAATAATGTAAATAGTGTACATGATACCTCATCTCAGAAATATAGACAGATACTAAAAAAGGCCGAAATGTTGTAATAAATATGGCGACAAAGATGAGGACAATAGTCTGAATAATGTAAATAGTGTACATGATACCTCATCTCAGAAATATAGACAGATACTGAAAGGCCGAAACGTTGTAATAAATATGGCGACAAAGATGAGGACAATAGTCTGAATAATGTAAATAGTGTACATGATACCTCATCTCAGAAATATAGACAGATACTGAAAGGCCGAAACGTTGTAATAAATATGGCGACAAAGATGAGGACAATAGTCTGAATAATGTAAATAGTGTACATGATACCTCATCTCAGAAATATAGACAGATACTGAAAGGCCGAAACGTTGTAATAAATATGGCGACAAAGATGAGGACAATAGTCTGAATAATGTAAATAGTGTACATGATACCTCATCTCAGAAATATAGACAGATACTGAAAGGCCGAAACGTTGTAATAAATATGGCGACAAAGATGAGGACAATAGTCTGAATAATGTAAATAGTGTACATGATACCTCATCTCAGAAATATAGACAGATACTGAAAGGCCGAAACGTTGTAATAAATATGGCGACAAAGATGAGGACAATAGTCCGAATAATGCAAATAGTGTACATAATACCTCATCTCAGAAATATAGACAGATACTGAAAGGCCGAAACGTTGTAATAAATATGGCGACAAAGATGAGGACAATAGTCTGAATAATGTAAATAGTGTACATGATACCTCATCTCAGAAATATAGACAGATACTGAAAGGCCGAAACGTTGTAATAAATATGGCGACAAAGATGAGGACAATAGTCTGAATAATAAATAGTGTACATAAATACCTCATCTCAGAAATATAGACAGATACTGAAGGGCCGAAACGTTGTAATAAATATGGCGACAAAGATGAGGACAATAGTCTGAATAATGTAAATAGACAGATCATCTCAGAAATATAGACAGATACTGAAAGGCCGAAACGTTGTAATAAATATGGCGACAAAGATGAGGACAATAGTCTGAATAATGTAAATAGTGTACATGATACCTCATCTCAGAAATATAGACAGATACTGAAAGGCCGAAACGTTGTAATAAATATGGCGACAAAGATGAGGACAATAGTCTGAATAATGTAAATAGTGTACATGATACCTCATCTCAGAAATATAGACAGATACTAAAAGGCCGAAACGTTGTAATAAATATGGCGACAAAGATGAGGACAATAGTCTGAATAATGTAAATAGTGTACATGATACCTCATCTCAGAAATATAGACAGATACTAAAAAAGGCCGAAACGTTGTAATAAATATGGCGACAAAGATGAGGACAATAGTCTGAATAATGTAAATAGTGTACATGATACCTCATCTCAGAAATATAGACAGATACTAAAAGGCCGAAACGTTGTAATAAATATGGCGACAAAGATGAGGACAATAGTCTGAATAATGTAAATAGTGTACATGATACCTCATCTCAGAAATATAGACAGATACTAAAAAGGCCGAAACGTTGTAATAAATATGGCGACAAAGATGAGGACAATAGTCTGAATAATGTAAATAGTGTACATGATACCTCATCTCAGAAATATAGACAGATACTAAAAGGCCGAAACGTTGTAATAAATATGGCGACAAAGATGAGGACAATAGTCTGAATAATGTAAATAGTGTACATGATACCTCATCTCAGAAATATAGACAGATACTAAAAGGCCGAAACGTTGTAATAAATATGGCGACAAAGATGAGGACAATAGTCTGAATAATGTAAATAGTGTACATGATACCTCATCTCAGAAATATAGACAGATACTAAAAAGGCCGAAACGTTGTAATAAATATGGCGACAAAGATGAGGACAATAGTCTGAATAATGTAAATAGTGTACATGATACCTCATCTCAGAAATATAGACAGATACTGAAAGGCCGAAACGTTGTAATAAATATGGCGACAAAGATGAGGACAATAGTCTGAATAATGTAAATAGTGTACATGATACCTCATCTCAGAAATATAGACAGATACTAAAAGGCCGAAACGTTGTAATAAATATGGCGACAAAGATGAGGACAATAGTCTGAATAATGTAAATAGTGTACATGATACCTCATCTCAGAAATATAGACAGATACTAAAAAGGCCGAAACGTTGTAATAAATATGGCGACAAAGATGAGGACAATAGTCTGAATAATGTAAATAGTGTACATGATACCTCATCTCAGAAATATAGACAGATACTAAAAGGCCGAAACGTTGTAATAAATATGGCGACAAAGATGAGGACAATAGTCTGAATAATGTAAAAATAGTGTACATGATACCTCATCTCAGAAATATAGACAGATACTGAAAGGCCGAAACGTTGTAATAAATATGGCGACAAAGATGAGGACAATAGTCTGAATAATGTAAATAGTGTACATGATACCTCATCTCAGAAATATAGACAGATACTGAAAAGGCCGAAACGTTGTAATAAATATGGCGACAAAGATGAGGACAATAGTCTGAATAATGTAAATAGTGTACATGATACCTCATCTCAGAAATATAGACAGATACTAAAAGGCCGAAACGTTGTAATAAATATGGCGACAAAGAT